AATAATAATAATAATAATAATAATAATAATAATAATAATGGGAATGAAGAGAAACTGAAAAAAGAAAAACAACAACAACAACGAGAGGCGTTTATGCGAGGAGAAGAGAATAAACGTCTGGTGATTTTACAAGATCAACAAATATACCGAGAGGTATTAGAAGGGGAACTCAGGCGGGTCCTTCAGTTACTTTTCTTTGAAAGTGAACAGAAAAGAGTAAGTAAATCCTCGCGACCAGCATCATCAGCATCATCAGTATCTAAACAACAAAAACAAATACAAAAACAACAAAAAGAAGAAGAAGGAGAATCATCATCATCCAGAAGTCGACAACAACAAAAGTATAGAGTTGTGCCGCTCCTCATTGAAGTACCGCTATCAACACCACCACCAAGAGAACATTCCATTACCTGTACTACTTCACCGCGTGAACGTCGGCGAAGCAGCAACAGTAATAATAATACTATTAATAATAATAATAATAATAATAATAANCTGTGATCTCAGGTTCTCCAGGGAAGCCTCATAATATACATTCCCCCAATCCATTTAAACTCTCACTATCACTATCACCAAAAGAAGAAGAAGAAGAAGAACGAAAACTAAAAAGACAAGAAGAAGTGCCCAATATTCTATTGTACGCACTTGAGAAGGACGAAAATAAACCTAAAAAGTTAAAAAGGATGAAAACAAGTTTAATTGTAAGATTTGGCTCTTTAAACGAACTGAGGATACATTCTCCAAATTGTTATTCTTCGGCTCCGCCGCGAAGAACATCTGTGAAGGAACAAAGTGTATTAAATNTAATAATAATAATAATAATAATAATAAGAGAACTCTGAGTGCGACTATGGAGAAGGACAACAAACTAAAAAAAGAAAAACAACAACAACAACAACGAGAGGCGTTTATACAAAAAGAGCGAGAAAAACGTTTGGTAATTTTACAAGATCAACAACGATACCGAGAAGACTTAGAAGGACAACTCAGGCGGGAACTTAATATACTTCTCTTTGACATTGAACAGAAGAAAGTATGGAAATCAGAACCACCACCGCGACCAACGAGAGAACAACAATTCCGACAACTTAAACAACGATTCTATTCTTCTGATTGGCACTCTGTTGAAATGGATAAAGATGAAAAGTTGGAAAAGAAGTCACCCAGTCTTAGTAATGAAATGGACTCCATCATCTCTGTGATCTCAGGTTCTCCAGGGAAGCCTCATAATATACATTCCCCCAATCCATTTAAACTCTCACTATCACNACCCACTTTGGGTGGACCTGGTACTATTATTGTTTATTATGGTTTTTTTTTTTATTTATTTTCCTTTCTCTGTGTACTTTTTTCTTTTCCTTTTTCCCTTTTTCCATTTTCACCTTTACCTTCTTCATTCTGTGTGCTGCCCAATAGACTTAACGGCGGGGAACTTCTCTCACTGTATATATGAGCAAGAGCGAAGGATCCCTTCATTAGGGGTAAACAGCAGAATA